TATAACGACTAACGGATAAGAAAAAATCATTAATGCTTTTATTGCTTGTATTTCTTAATATGTTGCATACACATTTAGGAATGCAATTACTACCCGTTGCAATTTGGTTTCATTTGTAGGTGTGCAACCAATTTACATATTTAATTAATCTATGGTTTGGTCTTAAAAATATCAGTTTTTTTCATTAGTTTCAATTGAATATGTTTTTATTTCCAACTGATGGTCAGAAAAAAGACATCACAATGCGCCCATTTTCTTTTCATCCCATTTTATAATGTAAATAATCAGCAGCACATTTGAACAATCATGAATGCTAATGTTTTTCTAAATGTGTTGCATACAGATTGAGAAACACAATTACCAGTAGCACTATTGATTTGTTTGTAGCACTGCAACTAATGATTTGTCTCATTATCAATAATTCTCCTGCTAGTTTTATTTATTAATGGTTTGGTCTTTAAATGTCTGCTGAGATATGTCTGTCAGAGTTTCTCAGAGCTGTTTTCACGTGATATAAAGTCCAAAACCATAAAATATTTATTGAATAGTACATACATATGCAAATATACACAATGCATTGAAGCAAATTGTTTTTAATTGGTTAATTACTTCACCAATTAATTAATTATGAAAACATGCAGCGGGTATCAGAGCAGAGAGGATGAAATGTGAGATATATCGAGCAAATGAGAACCGTTCTCTCCGAGTAAAAACCCAATAAGCTTTATTTATCACAACACCCGTTAAACTAACATATATTTTCATAAAAGGAATATTTTCTACCTGTAAATGTAAATCCACATATAGAGGGGCTGAGGGATAGTGACTGATTTATTTTCCTCATTGAACTTCACTCAGTTTTTAATTTCAGGAATATCAATTATTTATCATAGTTATTAGATTTGTTTCCAGGAAGATATTTTTGAGTTTATAATGACTTGTTGTTGTGCACATTATTATATCCAAATATGACAGAAATGTATTTAGAATCATGTTCTGAAACATATATATATATATATATATATATATTAAATTGTAAGAAAATATGGAATGAAAGCGCTGATGTTTATTCCGGCCAAAAATTACACTTAAAATGCACTAAAAGCCGAATCTAGATTTATTTTCTGTCTCCATTCATTCTACTGAGCCGAGAGTGTGAGCTCGGGGGGCGGGGCTTAAGGGGAGCGCAAATAGAGAGGCGAAGTCCCGCCCATCTACTTCTGCCCCATGGGACCTTATTTCGGAAAAAGTATGTATTGAAGTCAATGGGGAGAGAAAGATTATCTTTCGATCCCGTTTGAATTGTCCCACGAATTACACACATGATGTTTGTCAATCTTAAAAAATCATTTCCATGTCAAAAAAGTCACAGTTTGTCTTAAAACTGTTGAAATATAAGCCTATGAAAAATACGCAACTAGAAAGACTACAAATCCCAGAGTCGCGTATGTGATGTCATTAACGTTACACATACACTCGTGTTACTCACCAAAACCTTGTAAAGCCGGTCCCGCATGCTGGCTCTTACGGAACCGACTCTCCCCTTGTGTGTATGCACAGCTCTCAACATGCCCAGACTTGGAGTGATTTTCACCTCTTTTAATACTTTTCGCCTCATTCTGAAAGAAAGAGGTGAAATGTGCCAACGTGACGGCCGTCTTGGTGTGTGGTGCGAGACGGGAGATGTAGTTCATTGAGCGTTTCACACAAAACAAAGTGTTACTTCACAGTTTTACGACACATTTTTATTGTTTTGACTTGCAAAATTATCTTTTAAATTGACAAACATCATATGTGTAATTTGTGGTGTACACCAGGGGAGAAGAAGTACAGAGAAGATGTAGTTGTAAAGGGAGAACGAGGTACAGAGAAGATGTGAGTTGTACACACTGGGAGAAGAAGTACAAGAAGATGAGTGTACACAGGAGAAGAGGTACAGAGAAGATGTAGTTGTACACCAGGGAGAAGAGGTACAGAGAAGATGTAGTTGTACACAGGGGAGGAAGGAGTACAAGGAGAAGAAGTAGTTGTACACAGGGGGAGAGAAGTACAGAGAATGATGTAGTTGTACACAGGGAGAAGAGTACAGAGAAGATGTAGTTGTACACAGGGGAGAAGAAAGTACAGAGAAGATGTAGTTGACACAGGGGAGAAGAAGTACAGAGAAGATGTAGTTGTACACAGGGGAGAAGAGGTACAGAGAAGATGTAGTTGTACACAGGGGGAGAACGAAGTACAGGTAGAAGATGGTTAGTTGTACACCAGGGGAGAAGAAGTAGCAAGAGAAAGATGTAGTTTGTACACAGGGGAGAAAAAGTACATGAGAAGATGTAGTTCGTACACAGGGGAGAAGAAGTACAGGGAGAAATGTAGTTTGTACAAGGGAGAAGAGGTACAGAGAAGAATGTATTTACACAGGGTGAAGGAGAAAAAGTACAGAGAAGGATGTAGTTGTACACAGGAGAAGAAGTACCAGAGAAGATGTAGTTGTACCACAGGGGGGAGAAGAGGTACAGAGAAGATGTAGTTGTACACAGGGGGAGAAGGAGTACCAGGAAGAAGATGTAGTTGTACACGGGGGAGAAAGAGGTACAGAGAAGATTGTTAGTTGTACACAGGGGAAAAAAGTACAGAGAAAGCATGTTAGTTGTACACAGGGGGAGAAGAAGCACCGAGAGAAATGTAGTTGTTACACAGGGGAGAAAAAAGTACAGAGAGATTGTAGTTGTACACCAGGGGAGAAAAAGCACAGGAGAAATGTAGTTGTACACCAGGAGAAAAAGTACAGAAAGATGTAGTTGTACACAGGGGAGAAAAGCACAGAAGAAGATGTAGTTGTACACAGGGGGAGAAAAAAGTACAGAGAAGATGTAGTTGTACACAGGAGGAAGAGGTACAGAGAAGATAGTAATTTACACAGGGGAGAAAAAGTACAGAGGAAGATGTAGTTGTACACAGGGGAGACAGAGGTACAGAGAAGATGTCACGTTGTACACAGGGGGCAGAAGAGGTACAGAGAAGATGTCAATTGTTACACAGGGGTCAGAAAAAGCTACAGAGAAGAATGTAGTTTGTACAACCAGGGAGGTAGAAGTACAGAGAAGATGTAGTTGTACACAGGGAGAAGGAAGTACAGAGAAGATGTAGTTGACACAGGAGAAGAGGTAACAGAGAAGCATGTAGTTGTACACAGGGGGAAAAAAGTTACAGAGAAGATGTAGTTGTACACAGGGATTTAAAGAGTACAGAGAAATTTGTAGTTGTAACAGAAGAGAAGAAGTACAGAGAAGGATGTTAGTTGTACACGAGGGGAGAAGAGGTTACGCAAGAAGGTGTAGTTTGTACAAGGCGAGACACCTTTCTCTGGAAGACTTTCAAAAGTCCTTGTTTCTAAGGAGAGAGAAAGACTAGGTAAGATTATTTTTTGGACAGGGACTTTTACTCGACTAGTTCTAAAATCCGGCTGAACACTACAGTATTGTTACACAACCAGAACACATGTAATCGGTTTAGTCGTTGGTCATTAGGGGAATTAGTGGACTTTTAACACCCATTACGAGCGTTACTAGACAAACCCCAAAGTCTGTTTGGTCGGAACTAGACTGACCCTTATTTATTTTATTTATTATGCTAAAAACGTTTGTTCGGGGAAAATAACATTGGATACAAATTTTTTTGCTCTTGCTACCCTAAACTAACAAATCAAAACTAATAATGAACATTTGTGGCTCGCCCTTTTCGACTTGTTGTGTGGTGTTGTGTGTGTGTTGTCGTGTGTGGTGTTTGTGTCGTGTGTAGTGTTGTGTTCCGTGTCGTGTGTGTGTGTGTGTGTGTGTGTGTGTGTGTGTGTGTGTGTGTGTGTGTGTGTGTGTGTGTGGTGTGTGATGAACAAGAGAGTCACCCTACGTATAGTTTCACACTCGAACAAGGACGTACATACAACATGGACAAGTCTCTAAATATGTGGCTCCCTCGCCGTTCTATGTCCGCACTTATATAAGTAATACTAATTGAATACGAATACTATGGGTCGCGGAACTAAATACCGAACACCCAAAGACATGAAGATTGAGACTCTCTTGTAGACCCCAAACCTGAAACTCTTAAACTCCCGAAAAGTCGGTTCAAAATGTAAGAGGAGCGTGCGACCAGACCCTCGGCAAAGATTCTATTATTATTATTTATGGGCGGACTATTATGTATTATGAGGTTATATTATCTGCCTCGGTAGTGGTAGAGGTGGGCACGGCTGATCGCCGGCTATGTTTATATCGCGGCGTGTGGGGGGGCTCAGTTGGATGAGTTCATTTAAATTCTTTCAGACGGAAAAAAAAAAGGCATAATAAGTCACAAACTGATAAAACAAACCCATAAATGCAACGTGATAACATAGGACACACATAACACAACGAGACACCCTCCTCGGACACTGGAGTCCGAGGTAACTGTGATAGATGTGACATTGTGCTGTACTGGTATTTTCGGAACTTGGAACCACAGCACAGACTGGACTCTCTACCCTCACCAATCTGCATTCTAGTCGGCCACGACCCCAACTACACGTCCATGCGGGGCCGAAGACTAACCAGTCCCCTCATCCACTACCGGCCCGCAACGAGGGGACCAGGCACGGTAGCACGCGGCGACGGGCGTCTTTTGATCAAGAGACCGTCACCAGGAGGGGCATCCATTCAGACTCTTCTCTCCGTGTCGCAGTGTACTACATTATGTCCTTCAGACTGCCTGTCCGGTTCGGGGTCGCTTCACGCGGCCTGAGACTCCTTTTTATAAGCAACACAGGTTTGCGTCCATGATGTTGGAGGCATAGTCAGGCACTGCAGTGGCGCCGCGGTTTTTCTGAAAAGGGGTAACTGATTGTAATCCTTTCTCTGCAGGACATTTAGTTTCTCCATTAAAAAAACAATAATTTATTGATGGGTCATACTGATAAACATAACGGAATAACCTTAGTAATCCAGGAATTTCAGACATTTTACGTGATGGCCCGCCGCAACCCCGAATTATCCGAATTTCCCGCGTACGAGACCACTCGGTGTATGTCCATGAAGACGAAGACCGTCGATCCTGTACTACCCATTAGACACTGCAAAGCGATAGAGTTTCAACCGTAAAACTGGAGTACTCGGTTACTCGTCGAGAGTAGTCCTTTCTTGCTCTGGGCGGAGGGTGCGACATAGGTCAAGGATCATCTCTGCCGCTTCAGGGAGGGAAAGGGCCCCCTCGTAGGTACCCTGAAGTAAAGCCTTTTTTTCATACATAACTTCAGCTACTCTCTCTTTCTAATATGAAAGCTAGAGCANGGGGACATCTTACTTCTTCCTTCTCTCTGTCTATACCTGTGTACTCTCATGTTCCGATTAACCCAGCTTCCCCAAATTTCTTTCTTTTTGGTGTCTATATACGCCGGGATCCGGAGTCATGGATGATCCTGCGGTCCTGTGTCATGGATGCGCGGCCGTGGGCTGTGGGTCCTCGGATTCATAACTGGATGGTATGACTCGTGGAATTCATCCTTCTACTTATAAGATTACACACATGCATTTTCCACAAACATTTTGGACTACCTATGTTGCAAATGTATTATCTTTTTCAATTTAACACACGGCAATCTATTGCACGTCGTCCTCCTGGGAAGAATGGGATACCCTCCTCTGTTGCCTCTCCCTGAGGTGTTCTCCCATTTCTTCCCTTTAAACTCGTGGGTTTCTCTGGAAGTTTTTTGCCAGTTGTTACGATGTGAGGGTATGAGGACAGAGGGTGTCCCGTATTGTCATACTGGATATTCTGTACAAACTGTGAAGTCCACTGAGACAAATGTAACATTTGTGATATTGGGCTATATAAATAAACATTGATTGATTGATTGTATTAACCTATTCAGATCATTTCTCTTAACTCAATATATAACAGCATAATCCACTGGTCATATCCTCTGCAATCACTACCCAATCACTAAATCAAAAATAGACACTTTACCCGGTCTTGTGGATCGCATTGTTCTTCCCAAATTACATTTTAACAGTTTTGGTCCGACTGTATTTAAAGATGATTGAAGATGAGCGGCGAAGGGAGCAACTTAACGGCAGAGGCATTACAACATGTAGTGTGTGTTTCCATGGAAAATACATACACACACACACCCATCTTTTCCTCAGCCGAGTAAAATAACTTTCTCATTGTCTATGCTAAACCCAGTAGCTTTAAAAGAGTTAGTAATCAATACGATAGATGAATCACTTTGAAAAAACCCTCTATTGAACATTATGAGAGGATGATAAGCTTTGTTACAGAATGACAACCATTCCAGAATCACAGCTAATTTAATGGTCTTCTTAAGGGGTCAAGGGGCAATATGTCCCCTAAATAGTGAACCTTGAGCCATCTTAAAATAACATTGGCTTGGTCTGCAATCTTTAAAGGAGTTTGTCTCAAAATCGTGCCCTGATAACAGTCTTCATGTTAAGATGTTGCTGCATATTTGGAGAGCAAACACAATAAGGACGTCATTGGGTGTACAAATCAAAATATGATTCAGGGTCGAAGTGACAGATTTAGTACGAAGAGACTGAAATAGCGTCTTTGTGCTTTGTTGTATGTTACTCAAACATCCCCAGTTTAAGACTTTTCAGGGAACCCAAGATGGCAGCAGTTTGAGGATGGAGGAATTTGGAAGGCATTGGGGTAGCAGTGGTTGGTTGTCTTGAGGGGTTATGAGTCAGCAATTTGTTACCATCATCCAGATTATGGCAGTTTTTTTTCGCAGTAACCTATCTGAGGGGAAGCCCGACAGGAACCTGAAGGCAGCACCGCGGGGCTGCGAGTCATTAATCCAGCTGTTGGTGCTGATGCTGCACCCTGTGGGGGACAGCAGCACCCGTCCTCATCTAGCCTCACCCACTGCTGCCACACAGCTAAACACCAAACACACTCTTTTATGCAATGTTGTGTTTTTCTGTTTTTCTCCTCTGAGACGAGGAGTCTAGGAAAAAAACATTCCATTGTTATACATCATTTACACATTTGTCGGGCACTGATCAGACGAGAAATAACAAGATGTAGCTGTATCTGTAGAAAATAAGCATCATTACCCTGTTACCCAAAGAACGTATATCAGGCATATAACCAAAAACATATTAAAGGTCCCATGTCATGGCCATTTCTACTGATCATAATTCCATTGTTGAGGTCTACTAGAATAGATTTATATTGTTCAATGCAATGTTCCAAACTCACATTGGTTTCTCATACAGCATCTCTGTATATAGTATGTGTATTCACTCTCTGTCCTAAACGGCTTGTTGGAGCTCCTGCCCCCCCCTCTCCCTGTGAGCCCACTGTGCTCTGATTGGTCAGTTCACCCACTCTGTTCTGATGAGATCACCACCGTTACAGTGGAACATCAGTGATTATGTGTTACAATGGCGTTGGCAACCAGAAAATGACAAACAGATGAGAATGCTGCGTGGGGTCTGGGTGCCGTGTTGGCAGAACGTTGCGCGGATCGCTGCTGCGAAGAGCGGACAGTGTGAGCTGGGTTCATTTTCTGTTCGCTGCGTTGGGGCTGCGAGACAGCGAGACATCGTGAATGGACGCGGGAAGGGGGAGGGTGCTGAGGGGCTGCAGCATCCCCATCTGCGAGGCTCCACTAGCACCCGCATCCCCAAACGTACCTACACTGAAAAAAAGGGGAAAGTGGGGTTGTTCAATTTGCAAATATGCAGTTAATATATGAGACATAATTTATTCATGTTTCTCGTCGAAACATGAATCAATCATGTACAACTATTTGAATCTTGAGGGCTGTACGTTCTATAAGTCTCAATCATGTTAAGAAATAAGAAAAAAGTTATGTTTACCTCTGTAACTCCGCCCAGTGAGCACATACGTCAGCAGCTTGTTCTGCAGCCGATTACTCAGCTTCTAATTATTATTTACAAATATTTTATTCACAAATTAATATGGTCGGACCTATGGGTTGGACTCAAACCCGTACTTTAATAGTTTCGTAATTGAACCTGAACAATATGCCACTTTAATGGACAAGATGTAAAGCAGAAAAAAATTGCAAAATATATTTATTTTTAAAAATGTGAAGCTTTTACTTTTTTAAATAAAGGAGGGAGGGGGGGAGGGGTTCTACCATATTTCTTCCCGCATCGGAGGAGTAAGCTGGTTCTTTCCCGAGAACATCTCTACAAGGTAAAAGTTATTTAAAGTTATTTAATGTCATCAAATGTTCGTCATAGTTAGAGGTTATCACAAGACGCATTGTTTGCAAAAAGCAGAGTTCACATTTTCCGTTACAACGAGCAACGTAAATACAGCTGACAATTTGTAAACATTGTAATTCACTGGTGTTAGCTAGGATAAAGCCATGAAAATCATAAGATGAGTTTATATTGATTGACTTGTGTTTAGCGTGTTCTTATAATGTGAGTATTTGTAGAGCGTAAGTCCGGCAGTGGCTTGATTTACAATATTTAAAACTATGAACCTTGCCCAAAGTTATGCACATTAAACCGAGCTCAGTGGGGAGGGGGGAGTCATAGCTGATGGATGAGCTTGCGCATGTTTGCATGTCTATCGGCTACGTCTTGTTTTAAATTATTGTTTCATGTCTGCTGTCAGGCGGTGTAGAACTTTACTGCGTCGGTCCGGCTCTGCATGTCTACTCTTGTGCCGACTTTTAAGGGCGCTGATGCAGGTTGTAGGCCTACCTTACGTTAAGTGACCATCTTTACCCATTTAAGGTGTTGATTGTTAAATATACAATATTGTCTGTGGGACCGCAGTGTTTTCCCTAAAAAACTGTGTTTATGTCTCTGCTTTGATCCGCTCTGTGTTCATGTAAATACCGTAAATACACATAGATCAAAACAGATCAAAACAGAGACAAAAACAGAGGACACAGTATGTGTGTAGGGGTTTGTCCCCGGAAAACGACACTTGTACTGGAAAGTGGAGAATTATTAATGATTTGTGTTACATTAAGCAAGCGGTGCAACATAGCCGGAAATGGAGGAACATGCCAGACAGATCAAGTAAGGGTTACCGATCCACCCGCTGTGAAATGAACTTATCCTTCCATATTCCGTGCAAGTGTGTTTAACAGAAGTTGAGATGTTTCTCGGCTTGTGATTGGTTGTTCCTCGTCACATGACGAAGCCCGGTTGCGCGCCTGCGCAAGTTGCAGTTACGTNCTCTGTTCTGATGAGTCCACCACCGTTACAGCGGAACATCAGTGATTATGTGTTACAATGGCGTTAGTAACCAGAAAATGACACCAGTAATGACAAACAGATGAGAATGCTGCGCGGGGTCTGGGTGCCGTGTTGGCGGGACGTTGCGGGGCTCACTGCTGGAGCGGACAGTGTGAGCTGGCTTGCTGGTGTTGTTTCCTGGTTGCTGCGTGGGGTCTGGGGACGGCGGGACACGGCGAGGCCCAGCCCGAGCTCGGCCGGAGCACACACACAGACCCACAACCAGGCTGCGAGTGTGTGCTCCGGCAGAGCTCGGGCCGGGCCTCACCGTGTCCCGCTGTCTCAGGCTGAGTTCAGGCTGAGAAATCTGCGGAGCTGCAGCTGAAAAAAAATAAGGCTGAGTGTGTGTGTGTGTGTGTGTGAGGAGCTCTGCGGACCAATTGGTCCATTTGGATCGTCGTTACATCACTTGGTTCCCGGAAGAAAACAATGGAAAAAGAAAAATCTCCAACGAGGCGTTCTGGGGCAGCATAGACAGCTATTTTCTGTGTTTTACTCGCTACAGGGTGTACTTGGAGGGTTTGTGACTTTGCAGACTGTTTACATGCATAAAAAGCTACATAACACACAAGGGGACGGGTAATAACCGGAAAAGCATGACATGGGACCTTTAAAATAAAAGTTGACTGGAAGCGGTTAGATGCTAGCTAAATTCTAGGTTTTAGGACCCATTTCTGCACCACTATAGTGATAGATTGCTTGATAGAGCTGTATAAGTCAATATAGGCTGCATGTTTTGTGCTGCCAGCTTTCGAAAAGTCCTTGATCTGATGCGAACCCTTTTTTGATAGTAATGAAGTTATAAATGGTTATCCATAGATAGATGATATAAGTGTCTAACTCTCTAGCTCTAGAAATCATATATAAATAATTACACTCTGCAAATAAAGTCTACATTTTCTGCAGGCTTTTTTTTTGGGCGAGAATTCAAGGTACCACAGGTGAGCAACTGATATATGAATGGTCATTTTGTTGGTAAAATATCCCTTGATGGATGTCATGTGACCTCAAAGCACCCAACACTGTAGAAAACTTAAGTGGAGTATGGGTAACTTCTCTCTGCTGAATGGTGCTTACTCTGGAAAGTATCTTTCTGTAATCCTGTATGTATGTTGACCTTCAGCTACAACTGATACCATTGTGGTTGTCATGGTTCTATTCCTTTCCCTTCAACGTAAATTGAAACTGAAAATCTTTTCCTTTAATAAGACCAAAGAGCTCAAGGATGTCTCCTCTTTGAACACCAGCATCACGTCAGACTCCAACTCCCAAACTCCTTCTTTAAACACAAAGAGAAAAATCTGCTTCTCATTCGCTGATCTAGTAGCAACGCAAAAAACGCTTTGCCTCCCTGTGCTTGTTTTCATGGTTAAATACCTCCAGTGACCCCACAGTGCTGTTGAATCCAGAGTTCTAATGATCAGATTGATGTTACCTTGCGCTGCCTCTTTAACTGACAGCATGCAGAGCCACTCCAGCAGGCCTGCCAGGAACAGGAACAGGATCTGAGCTAAGCCCTGTTCGGAGGCTCTGTAATCTGCAGCCTACTCCTCAAACCCTGACATGCTGCTGTTCGCACTGTAGAACAAAAACAAACGATCATGTTGGATCGACCAGAATGCAAACAAAGGCAAACTTCAGCATGTTGAAAAAAAGTTCCAGAAACCCAAAGAAACTCAGGAAATACGGTGAAATGTTGACGTTATTTAATCCTTTTACAGTAATTAGCGTAACGTCCATATCTCTTTATCATAATGTTTTTGTTGCATTTTCTAAACAAATAAGCACTTAAGAAAATTAATGATTTGTCGTAAAATGCTGAATAAGCACCACAGCTAACAGTATAATATGATCCGAGTTTCTCTGTCCCAATCGGCAGTTTCCGTAAACGGCCGAATGTTGTGAGACATTAAATGTCCCGATCCGATCACGTGATCGGGGATCGGAGCCGATCACGTGATTTTCAAAAGATCGGAATCGGGAGGAAAAAAATCGGGGATCGGGATTTAAATTTTTTTTTTTTTTATAAATACTTTTTTTTAAATTTTGTATTCAATGTTACAAAACAAAAATGACCATGTTCAAGTCTTAAAGTCATCCTGAGGCCTTAGTTTTGGTTTCAAATTACAGAACATCATGTATGTGTTGCTTCTTTGGGGCTTGTTTTCATAGACCTGGTTGCTTATTTCTCTCAAATCTGGCAACAGAGTGGGCCACTCTGTTGCCAGATTTGAGAGAAATAAGCAACCAGGTCTATGAAAACAAGCCCCAAAGAAGCAACACATACATGATGTTCTGTAATTTGAAACCAANATCATTTCCTGGTCTTCTCTAAAGAAGAGGGACCAATGAAAACGTTGTCATGTTGCCGTTGTTCAGCATGGAAACATTCATTAGCTAACAATGACATTATTGTTCTATTAATATAAAGGGAGGTCAGGTACTCTTTAAAACAGCTGCTAGTTATGGGTACTTTTTACTGAAGTACATTTCAAAGTTCTTTACTTTCACTTGAGTAAAGAAGTTTAGTCAGTACTTCTACTTTTAACACGCGTATATCTGTACTTCTACTTGAGTAAAGGAGGTGTGTACTTTTGCCATCTCTGACTCTGAGTGTGTGTGTGTGTGTGTGTGTGTGTGTGTGTGTGTGTGTGTGTGTGTGTGTGTGTGTATGAGAGAGAGAGTGTGTGTGTGTGTGTGTGTGTGTGTGTGTGTGTGTGTGTGTGTGTGTGTGTGTGTGTGCGTGTGCGTGTGCGTGTATCACAGTGAGGATCTGGGGGAATACATGGAGTCGAAGGGGGCGTCCTCTCCAGGGATCCTGACCCTGACCACTAACCTGAGTAAACCCTTCACCAGACTGGAGAGATACCCCACGCTGCTGAAAGAACTGGACCGACACATGGAGGTTAGCGATAAACCACTGATGTGTCTTTAAGTCTTAAACAAATTTATATTAAGCAACAAACAATGTTTCTTTGTTTCTTCCACAAGAACGTGCCCTGCATTTTATGTCAATGCTTGATTTTGTAAATGTTGTGTTTCTATGTTTTTCCCCATTGTGTTAGGATCAACACCCGGACAGAGTGGATCTCATTACGGCGATAACTGACTTTAAGACCTTTGCGGTAAGATACAGACAGTTTAGTTAGGATTGGATGTGCGTATATGTCTTTACTTACACTTGCAATATGAATATCCTTTCGTTTCCTGTGTGTGTGTGTGTTTGTTCAGGCTCACTGCCAGAATGTGAGGAAGAAGAAAGACCTGGAGTTGCAGATTTTAACGGAGCCAATCAGAAACTGGGAGGGTGATGACATTCGTTCTCTGGGTCCGGTTCAACACATGTCGCAGTGCACCGTCCACACGCAGAACTGCCAGGTACTCACACTGACTAACTCACTCAAACAGATGTCATGTGACCCCACCCTGACGTTGCATTTAGACCCATAATGAACACCCACCACTGTTGAGTTCAAGTGACCGTGAAAACACAGTTCAAAGGTATTTTTGTTTTGCTTTCCAGGAATCAAACGAACGCTACCTTGTCCTCTTTCCTCACACTCTGCTCGTGCTCTCCGCCAGCCTCAGGATGAGTGGATTCATCTTCCAGGTGCGTAACAGCACATCTGATTTAACCTTAATGATGTCTAAAAGCATACAACATGTGGTTTAACACATTGTGTGTTTCTATAGGGGAAGATGTCACTGTCAGGGATGCTCATCTCCAGAATAGAAGACGGAGAAAACCTGAAGAATGCTTTTGAAATCTCCGGTCAGCCCTTTCTCTCATTCTGCTCATGCACCTAAGACTTTACACCAGTTCAATATTCAAGTAAAATACAGTCTTTTGAGACAAACGGGATAAGACAAGATCAGTCTAATTTGAGCCTGTTTTCACTTATGACCACTGCCTGTTTGTCTGTACATTTTAACATTTGTTCTTGTGTGTTATTATTGTTCAGGTGCTCAGGGTGATCGGATGCAGGTGGCGTGTAACACTCAGCGCGAACTTCAGGACTGGCTGGACCTCCTCACCAAACACACACACACTCCTGCCTCACACACTAACTCGCTCAAGCATCAGTCCGTCTGTCACACAGTGAGTCTACATTAACAGTATCTTTCTATTTCCTGTTTCACCACAGTTGTAAATTAACACCAACGTGCCATATGTTCTTATATTCTATAACCTCTCCATTTCGCCTCCCAGCTGCCCTCTCTTCCCGCCACTCCCTCCAGACACTCGGAGTCTCGTGGAGGAAGCGTCGGACACAACTACCACACCCTTCCCCATCCCCCTTCATTTGGGATGAACCTCAACAGCAGCCCGATGTGGGGGCCCCTGGAGCCGCCGAGTACCCCCAAACCCTGGAGCCTGAGCTGCCTCCGCCCTGCTCCTCCACTCAGACCATCAGCTGCTCTCTGCTCCAAGGAGGTGCTGTACACTGGCGTATATACAAATGTGTTGTTAAAAGTCGGAATATTTATACATCTCTGGGTCCTTTTGTGTTACATTTGTCTGTGTTTTTGTTTGTAGGATATGAGTAAGAGTCCTAAGAACATGAAGAAGCTGCTCCCTAAGAGGAAGCCGGAGAGGAAACCTTCAGAGGAGGACTTCACTGTCAGAAAAAGTGAGTATGCAACGGAATAAATACTAAATTCTCACGATGGAAAAAAAATGTTTTCTAGGTGCAACATGACGGCAGGCTTTGTGTTACCTTAAAAGAATCCACAAAACATCCTTAATATATTCCTTCCTGTTGAGTTGTTACAGTTACAGCTGAGTATTTAAGGAACATTAACACTGTCTTTTCTCCATCGTCTCACCTGTCCCTCTCTCTCTCAGGTACAGCAGCTCTAGAGGAGGACGCTCAGATCCTGAAGGTCATCGAAGCTTACTGCACCAGCGCCAAGACACGAGCCACTCTCAACTCCAGTGAGCACACACACACACACACACACACACACACACACACACACACACACACACACACACACACGTGCAGATACACATCTTAAAAAAAACCTGGGGTTACAAAGAGAAATGTGAGAAAAGTTGTGAGAGTCACAAGTAAACCTTAAAATCACTGGAAAGAAGGGAAATTATCCAAAATTGACAACACAGTTGTGAATGACTGAATAACCTGGAGAGCGGCCATGTTCTGGTCGATGTTTTAACCCGGGGTTGAACTGTTTACATGAACCTCTGACAGCGTGACGCAGAATCGCTGTCGCAGCGAGAAGACCAATTAATAGAATTTCCCAGATGACTCATGTTGTGCCAAAGAGAGAAACAAACAATATGTCGGAGGTTCGCAATTGTTTTTCAGCCAAAGACCTTTAAAAGATAGAACATATTTTGGAGACAACCTCAGGTCCCTTTGGAATAATTTGACTTAGCCTTAAGCAAAAGAACGAGAGAAGTGTATTAGAAAGACATTAGGGATGTATTTAATTCTACGTTTATTGCATTAGCTGCAGGCTTTATATATACACACTCTATGGTTGCAGCTGTACCTCAAACAATTATTTGGAGTGCATTTTCACACATGCATTTCACAGAAGCAAGAATGCACACACTATTAAAGACTGACAAAAAGGATTTCACAAAATGATCATTTAAATATATCGATCAGAAAATGTCATGTTGTTACTTAAAGGTAGGGTAAGTAAGAATGGAGAAACCAGCTCGAGTGCGCTAGAATTTGAAAGTACGCAGCTGAAAAAAATCTGCCCCTTCCTTCAGACTTCCTTACAGAGCCCCTCCTCCAACACACACGAACGCGCAGATGACCAATGAGGGCACGAGATAAGTTTGTGCACAGATGGAAGGCTGACAGGCAGGTAGGCCATCCAGTTATTTTAGCCGGCTCAGATGATTGGTCGTGCTTTTTACTAGGGATGTCCCGATCACCTTTTTTTGCTCCCGATCCGATTCCGATCATTTGATTTTGACAATTTGCCGATACCGATTTTTCCCGATCCGATCTTTATGCAATGCATTAAGAGAAAAAAAAGACACAAAGCATTCAAGTTGTCCCTTAAGGTTATTTTTTATTTAAATTGGATATTCTAACCAACATGGATATAGCTTCTTTCTTTCACAGCAGCATTGGATCAGTTCAGTTGTGCAGCATTGGATCAAAACAAAATAAAGCTTTCAGTACTCGTTAGCTTACTGCTACTATTAGACACTGCGCCCACTCTGTTGCCAGATTTGAGAGAAATAAGCAACCAGGTCTATGAAAACAAGCCCCAAAGAAGCAACACATACATGATGTTGTTTAATTTGAAACCAAAACTAAGGCCTCAGGATGACTTTAAGACTTGAACATGGTAATTTTTGGTTTTGTAACATTGAATACAAAACTTAAAAAAAGTATTTAAAAAATTAAATCCCGATCCCGATTTTTTTCTCCCGATTCCGATCTTTTGAAAATCGGATCGGGACATCTCTAGTTGACGTTTCTGAAAAACGATGGTTGTTACCAAGTGGCTGAATAGGACTACAGAAGTTGTGGAGGTACGTTGTA